TGAGAAAGTAGCATTAGTAGTTGTTACTTCGGCCAGGAAGCTGAGGCCCTATTTCCAGTCACATCCAATCATCATCCTCATAGACCAACCTCTTCGACAAATTCTGCAGAAGCTGGAGTGCTCCAGAAGATTAATTAAATGGGCAGTAGAACTGGGGGAATTCGAAATAACATTTCAACAAAAATCTACAATCCGAGCTTAAGCACTAGTAGATTTCATCGTAAAATGCACTCCATGTCACTCAACCCCTAATCCCGAGCCCAACGATTGGACCTTATATGTTGATGGAGCATCTAGTAGCAAGGGTTCATGAGCTGGTGCTATCTTAATTGGCCCAGATGGATACCGAAGCGAACATGCTCTAAAATTTAACTTCGATGCAACAAACAATATGGCTGAGTATGAAGCTTTGCTACTTGGTCTGCAACTGGCATTGGAGTTGAAAGTTAGGGCGATCCAAGTGTACAGTGACTCCCAGCTTGTGGTTAATCAAGTCAACTCAATCTACGAAGTCGTTGATCTTGTGATGGTGAAATATGTAGCCCTGGTGGCCGAGCTGAAGTGCAAATTCCAGAAATTCTGTCTGAACAAAATTCCCCGAACTGAGAATGAATAGGCAGATTCACTCTCTGAGTTTGCCTCTGATAGCTCTTTAAACTCTAGATCAGTTTTTGTGGAAATCTTAGATGAACCAAGCTTCATGAAGCCACAAATGATGGAGATCAGCACAGACCCAGACACACCGAGCTGGACTGACTCAATTACCTCTTTTTTATGAGACGGGATAGTACCTGAAGACAAGCAAGAGGAAATGAGGTTGAGGAAGAAAGCATCTCGATATACACTCATTGATGGGGTCCTCTATAAGAGATCTTTCTCACTCCCCCTTCTACGGTGCTTGAATCCCTATGAAGTTGGGTACGCACTTCGGGAGGTGCATGAAGGTGTCTGCAGAAGTCACATTGGTGCTCGAACTTTGGCTCATAAAGTCCTTAGACAAGGATATTATTGGCCCAACATGTATAAAGATGCCACTCAGTTCGTACAAAGGTGTTAGAAATGTCAGTTCTTCGCACATCAAACTCACCAGCCAGTAGAAGAGCTCACTAATCTAGTAGCACCTTGGCCATTTGCTCAATGGGGACTTGATCTTTTAGGTCCATTTATGAAGGGGATAGGAGGTGTAATCCATCTGGTTGTTGGTGTGGATTATTTTACGAAATGGGTTGAAGTTCGGCCATTATCCAGTCTTACCTCCAAGAAGGTCGAAGACTTTGTTTTTAGCTCAATCATCTGTAGATATGGAATCCCGAATCAGATTTTGGCTGATAATGGAACTCAGTTCAACTGCTCCTCATTTCGAGATTTTTGTTCGAGCTACGGGATCAAATTACAATTCACCTCGGTTTACCATCCGGAGTCCAATGGTATTGTAGAATCTGTTAATAAAGCCATTTTAGAAGGAATAAAGCTGAGATTGGAACAACACAAGACCAGGTGGGCAAACGAGCTCAACAACGTCCTCTAGGCATACAGAACAACGAGCTGAATTGCCACAGATACTATTTCCAACCCAAGTTCCTTTCATTCTATTTTCATTCTATCTTACTTCCTCACCTGTGACTCTACCCTAGATCAAATATGCATAATATGTAAAGCATATTCTAAAAACTATAATTTCATGAAATAGATGAAACACCTTACCAATTGGCCTTTGGTACCAAAGTAGTCATTCCTATTGAAATAAGAGTCCCAAGCCTTTGTGTCACCCATTTCGATGAAAAACGAAATGGACAACTGCTTTGGGAAAACCTTGATCTGCTTGCCGAAGTCAGAGAAGAAGCACGGCTTCGAACTCTCGTATACAAGTAGAAATTAGCCAACTTCTACAACAAATGAGTCCACCCTTGAACATTCAAAGTAGGAGACCTTGTTTTCAAAAAGGTTGGCCTAACAGAGTTTGAAACTCATTTTGGCAAATTGGCCCCAAACTGGAAAGGCCTTTATACAGTGGTCGAAGTGCCACATCCCGGTGCCTATGTCCTCCAAGACATTGAAGGGAAGAGAGTTCCTAGAGTCTGGAATATCAATAACTTGAAGAAATTTTACCCCTAATAAACTTCTTCCAAGTGCTCTATGTCTTACTGCCCTTTATACTTATTACTTCGTGATTGTTGAGATTCATTTTACCTCTTATTCTGTGTATCCGAGATCAATCTATCTAACACTCATTCATTGAACTTCACTTTTATTAATGAAAGTCACTTCGCATCCGAAGTGCTTTACTTCTTTTTTATCTAAAGTGCTTTACTTCTTTTTAGTTTATCTGAAGTAGTTTACTTCTCTTTAATTCATTCCTGAAGTGATTTACTTTTTTTTATTTCATCTTTGACATGATTTACTTTCCCTCAAGACATATCCGAAAGAATCTCAGTTCTTATATATACCAACCAAAATGTAAAACAAACATCACAACATGATCTCAAAAACAAAATTGTTATTCAAATCAAATAACAAGTTTATAACAAATTGTTCAAATGATAATACAACAAAATATCAAAGAAAAATCAAAAAACAAAAATTCTTTATTCCTCTGCTAGAGGAAATGGCTGAATTGGCTACTGCTCAGCTGGAAGAGTTGGCTGTGTTGGCTGCTGCTCGTCTGGCAGGGGTGGTTGCTCATCGTTAGAAGGAACTTAATGAATCTCCACTAGCAGAGGTGGTTGACTCTCATCCACTTCAGCTCCTTCCACTCCTGCCCCCACTTCATCTTCCTCTCCCTCTGCCTCTTCTTCTTCCACTACAACGAACTCGAAGTCAAATCTTAGAGGGAAGACAGTGCGTCCGTCTACATCATGCTCCCACCTCAGCTTAATCTGAGGACGGAAGTCTATTGATATACGTTCACCATTCTCTTCCACTCCTTTTTCTTGCTCGCCGAAAGTGATCTTTGTAATATCCATTTCGGGATATTCAGCCTTCACTTTCTTTCTGCAGTTTGTGAAGGCAAGGATGGCAGTTGGCAGCCGGTAGAGGTTGACAATGCTGTCAAACGAGCTGGAGCTGACAAAGTTGCTAATGTGCTCCTCCATCCCATTGTGCACAAGTAGTTGCACATTCTTCTTCAGCTCCATATAAGCCTCCTTCATTAGCCTTATTTCTTTCTCCTAAGCCTCACGCTTGCTTTCAGAGATTTTTCGTTTGCTCTCTTCAAAGACGAGCTTGGTGCTCAAGGAAGCCCTTTCTTGCTCTAGCCGTTTCACTGCTGGAACCACCTTGTCCAATGCCTCTTGCATTTCTTTATTTTTCTTCTCCAGTTCTTCCTTCTCCTTTTGCAGCTGGTCACACTGGCTTTGCAAGAGGGAGCGCTCCTTCACACTCTCCATAAACTCCTGGGCTAGACC